ATTATAAATGATTATTAGAATCATAACCACATAATTGTATTATGTATATAAATGACTAACAGATCAATGAAAAGGCACGACCTAAATTTTCTTACAAGGTATCACACTTGGTTTGTTCTTAAACCCTAAAACCATTCGTCAACCTTCTTTCTTCCTATATTTCATTTTTTTCTCTTTAACCACCCCAAAACAACCATTACTACCACTACTGATTCCTCCAACAACAACTCTTCCTCACACTCCATCGGTCATACTGACCCTGCTCCTCCACCTCCCACTCCTACACCAACTCCCCCTGCTCTCATTGTCCCAAATATTACTAATTTCATTAAGATTACTCTGAGCATTGAAAAGGACACGTATAACACGTTGTCATAACTTTTTAAAATTCATGCTCGAGTTTTTCAAGTGATTGACAATATCATTCCATCTGAATCAGTTGTAGATCCCTCTCTCAAAACTACTGATCTACATTTATGGCTTCGTCTTGACGCCGTCGTTTTACAGTGGATATATGGAACAATCTCCGATGACCTTCTCAACACTATCAACGAACATAATTCCACCGCTGAAATCGCATGGAATCGCTTATTTGACATCTTTTATGATAACAAGAATTCTAGGGCTCTCTACCTTGAGAAAGAATTTTTGAGAACACATATGGAGCAATTCTTTGATGCTTTGTCCTACTGTCAGCATCTCAAGTCTCTCTCTGATCAACTAGCTAATGTTGGTGCCCTTGTATCAAATGAACGTTTAGTTCTTAAACTCATTTTGTGACTAACTGATGCATATGCTACTGTGGGATCCCAAATTCGTCATGCTGATTCACTTTCTCAGTTCTATAAAGCTCGTTCCATGATCATTTTGGAAGAAACAACACTGTAGAAAAAGGTGTCAAGCTCAGTAAAAAATTCATCTTTCATGGCGTCTCACAATGACGCACCAATTAATTCATCGACATCTTGTCCTAACCACGACAACAACGGAGACCACAATCGTGGTGGCCGAAGCAATGGCAGAGGACAACATGGACGAGGCCGAGGGCAAACAATAGACGTGGTAGAGGTCGTGCTCCGCAACAGCAGTGGCCTTCACCATATTACCCGCATCAGTAGTGGGTTTATCCGTTGTACCCAAATCAATATCAACAATGGAGCTTCCCGCCATGGCAACCATGGGCTACATCACCTTGTCTGTATCCAACAACAAGAAATTCAAAGGAATAATCCGACATTCTTGGTCCCAAGCCATCTCACCAAGCTCATGTCATCAATGTAGCACCAACCTCCTCATATGCTCCAACAGATATTCAAGCTGCCATGCATACTCTCTCACTTTCTACTCCTGATGATCAGTGGTACATGGACACCAGAGCAACCTTGCATATGACTACCAACGGAGGTAATCTCACATCTTACTTCAATATGAGTAATAATATTACTGTCGGTAGTGATCAAAATATTTCTGTAATTGGTTGTGGACATGAATCATTACCAAATTCCCTTCACCCTCTAAAATTATCTAATGTTTTACATGCACCAAAACTCATAAAAAATCTTATCTCTGTATGTAAATTTACCATAGATAATGATGTGTCGGTTGAATTTGATCCTTTTGGTTTTTCTGTGAAGGATTTTCAGACAGGAATGTTGTTAGTGAGATGTAACAGTTCTTGTGACCTCTATCCCATTGCCACAAGACCACCTAATAAAACCTTGCCACCATCCACCTTTGTCGCGTTATCCACAGAATTATGGCATAACCGTTTAGGACATCCAGGAGCTACTATCTTAAGTTCTCTACACCGAGACAACTTTCTACAATGTAATAAGTCTCGGAACAATTACTTTTGTAATTCATGCCCTCTTGGAAAACAAATAAAATTGCCTTTTTTATAGCTCAGTATCTCATACTTTTATGCCTTTTGATATTGTGCACAGTGACCTTTGGACTTCACCAATTCTTAGTTCAGAAGGTCATCGTTACTATGTGTTGTTTCTTGATGATTACACAAATTTTTTATGGACTTTTCCAATTCATACAAAATCTTAGGTTCATTCTATTTTTCTTCAATTTAGAACTCACATTGAAACAATTTGAAAGAAAAATTAAATGTTTCCAATGTGACAACGGTAAAGAATATGATGACTCTATGTTTCATAAAGTTTGTAAAAATAATGGAATGTCATTTACATTTTCGTGTCCCCACACCTCCTCACAAAATGGAAAAGCCGAAAGAAAAATTTGTATCATAAACAACATCATCCGTACCCTTCTTGCCCATGCCTCTTTACCCCCATCAATGTGGTATCATGCTATACACATGACCACTTACCTACATATTATCCTTCCAAATAAAAAGATTTCCTTATAATCACCCACTAAAATACTCTACCAAAAAGATCCAGCCTATACTCACATTCGTGTCTTTGGATGTCTTTGCTATTCTCTCATCCCTTCATCATATAAGAATAAGTTACAAGCTCGGTCTACACCTTGTGTCTTCTTAGGATATCCCTCAAATCATAGAGGATACAAATGTTATGATTTATCTAGCCGTAAAATATTTATTTCCCGACATGTCATTTTTGATGAAACTAAGCTTCCATTTTCTAATCTAAATGTTCCTACAACAGTTGACTATAATTTTTTTGGATGACGACACACCCTTCCTTCCATCCTATTCCTATAGTACTCCACCCTCTAACCGTCAAAATTATACTCCTTCCTTAACTACACCAGTTTAAACAAACATTTTCCAACCATCACCATCTTCTTTTAATTCGCCTCCATCACCCTCCCAAAATCACACCTCACCAACCATAACATCAACTTCATCCATAATATCACCTCTAAACCCATCATTACCAACTAACGTCTCATCCCCATCCACTATATCAGTTCTGGCTCCTCCACCTTCACAATAAAAACCACCTCTCTCCCCTCAAATGACAACCAGAGCCCAACACGATATTGTCAAACCTTGCAAACTCTTCAATCTCCATACCAAAACCTCAACCTCCATATCCCCTCTACCTACAAATCCCATTGATGCATTAAATGATCAAAATTGGAAAATGGCCATGAAAGACGAATACGATGCTCTTATTGAAAATAAGACGCGGGACTTAGTTCCTCGTCCGTCTAATGCTAATGTTATTCGGAGTTTGTGGATTTTCAGGCATAAAAAGAAATCTGATGGATCCTTTGAGAGATACAAAGCTCTCCTTGTAGGTAATGGTGCAAATCAACAAACGGATGTTGATTATGGTGACACATTCATCCCGGTGGTCAAACTGGCTACCATTCGAACGATTCTAAGTGTTGCTTTATCTAAATCATGGTGTCTTCATTAGTTAGATGTTAAAAATGCTTTCTTGCATGAGAATATTCATGAAACAATATACATGCATCAACCTCCTGGATTTCGTAATTCTCAATTTCCTAATCATGTCTGTTTATTGAAGAAATCTCTATATGGTCTCAAACAAGCACCTCGCGCCTGGTACCAACACTTTACTGATTATGTAGCTACAACGGGTTTCTCTCACAGTATTTCGGACCACTCTCTTTTTATATATCATCATGGCAATGACATAACTTATATTCTTCTGTATGTGGATGACATTATTCTTGTTGCATCATCTGACACTCTTAGAGAATCTATTATTGAACAACTGAGTTCCGAATTTTCCATGAAGGATTTGGGGCCTCTAAGTTATTTTCTGGGTATTTCTGTCACCCGACATCCCGAAGGCCTTTTTCTTTCTCAAAAGAAATATGCAGAAGAAATTATCTAACGAGCCGATATGTCCTCCTGCAAACCATCCTCCACACTAGTAGACACAAAGGCGAAACTTAGTGGTTCATCCAGTAGTAACCCTTACCATGATCCAACGAATATCGTAGCCTTGCCGGAGCATTGCAATACTTGACGTTCACTCGACCAGACATCTCATATGCAGTTCAGCAGGTGTGTTTATTTATGCATGATCCAAAAACTCAACACATGTCTGCCTTGAAACACATTATTTGATACATTAATGGTACCATAGATTTCGGCCTCCATTTGTACCTTTCATCCATCGACAAGCTCATTTCTTACACAGACGCAGATTGGGCCGGTTGTCCAGACACAAGAAGATCTACCTCCGGCTACTGTGTTTATCTCGGTGACAACTTGATCTCATGGTCCGCAAAACGCCAACATACCTTGTCTCGTTCAAGTGCCGAAGCCGAATACAGATGTGTAGCTAATGTTGTGTCTGAATCATGTTGGTTACGCAACTTACTCTTGGAACTATGTTGTCCTGTCACAAAAGCTACTATGGTATATTGTGACAACATTAGCACCATTTATCTTTTTGACAATCCCGTTTAACATCAAAACACCAAACATATTGAAATGGATATACATTTCGTGCGTGAGAATGTTGCTTGCGGCCAAGTACGCGTTCTTCACATTCCCTCGCGTTTTCAGATTGCTGACATCTTCACGAAGGGACTTCCGTTGCAACTCTTTGATGATTTTCGTGATAGTCTCAACATTCGTCCACCTCCAATTTCGACTACGAGAGTATATTAGATATGTAAATATAAAATAATTATTATTACTATTAATTACAAATGATTATTAGAACCATAAATACATTATTGTATTATGTATATAAATAACTAACATATCAATGAAAAGATACGACCTAAATTCTCTTACAGAAAAAATAACTAATTAAAATGACATACTAGTGACTGAATTATGATCGTCCTGATAAGATTTAAACCATACATCTTGAAGTTGCAAATATAAACTCTTAGTATTGAATTAATACTTCAAATACAGATTTAAAATAATTTATTTTACAAACATAGTGAGGTTATACCTCAAAGGTTCTTACCTAATTAGTTTCAACAACATTTATTAAAAAAACTTAATTAAAATTTTAGGAAAACAAATTTTATTTATCGATCTTACTTATAATAAGTAATAGATCTAATATTCAACTCATTTCCTTCATAATTGCAACTGCCAATCCATCATAAGCAATTTCCCAAGCATTACTTAACTCCTCACTCCATTTATTCCCAACAGCTTCTTTTATAGTTTTTAACAATGCTTCTTTCACAACCTGCAAAATTAAAATCTCTTTAATTTTAACATATTTAATAATATTTTTATAAATTATTAAAGTCAATATTTATTATATATTAGTGCATTATAGAATAAATAATTCTATATATTTAATTTTAAAAGTGTATTGTACCACAAAGTGAGGGCCGGCAACTCTTTTTTGAGTGTGAACAACTCCCAACATATTATCCTCCAATATTACTTCTCCAGTTGTTCGGAGTTGAACTCCTGCATCACGCACCTAAAATTTAAAAAGTATTATGATCTTATGATATAATAGTGTTAAAGTAATCAATAATAATAATAATAATAATTTAATTTTATGTTTGTAAAAAATACTGCTCACCATCAATTTTTTTATAAATTTTTTTTAATTATTGAAAATAAAATAAAATATAAATATTATATTGATTTTAGTATTCACATTATCAATATGATAACAAGAATTTAATAAATATTATATTGATTTTAGTATTTACATTATCAATATGATAAAATTATGGGGTATCAGTATTTTAAATTGCTAAAAGTGTCTTTTAATAACTTTCATCCCTTCTATATGTATTGTGAAATTTTGCCCTTTTTTTTAATGATGTATAGTCCTTTTTTTTGTTATATATATATATATATATATATATATATATATATATATATATATATATATATATATATATATATATATATATATATATATATATATATATATATATATATATATATATATATATATATATATATATATATATATATATATATATATATATATATATATATATATATATATATATATATATATATATATATATATATATATATATATATATATATATATATATATATATATATATATATATAATAATAATAATAATAATAATAATAATAATAATAATAATAATAATAAAGCATGAATTCAAAGTTAATAATAAAAATAAATTTGTTAATAACACTTCTTTATTTATCAGAATCATTGTTTTATTTTCACAAATTAATGACATATGATATGATTACGATGTAATGTATATTAACTTTTTTTGTGGGCTATTCACTCTAATTTTGTATTTTATGATTTTAATCTAAAATGTATTTCCACTTTGATAAATTTTATTTCCTTATGTAACATGAAAGTGCAAAAAGAATTCTCAATATGTTTATGTTAAAAAATAAGGTGAGTTCAATAAATTATTAGAAAAATAAAATATTAAATACCAACATGATAAATAAAAAAAGTATACAATATATTATTAGATAAAGCATAAATTCAACATTAATAGTTAAAAATAAATTTGTTAATAACATTTTTTTTATTAATCAGAATATTTTTTCATTTTCACAAGTTAATGACATATGATATGATTATGATTAATGTATATCAATTTTTTTGTTTCCTTATATAATATGAAAGTGCAAAAAGAATTATAAAAAATAACATGAATAAGGTGAGTTCAATAAATTAATTAGAAAATTAAAATATAAAATATCAACATAATAAATAAAAATATAAAATATATTATTAGGATCAAACTCACCATTCCAAAAACCTTTTCAGCATGAGCATTGACACTTGGATTATACAGAGATATCTCATTGGCATCTTTTAATGAAGGAAACATATTTTTTGTTGCAGGTGCTTTCTCCAATATACTATTTCAATAAAATCAATAAAAAATATTCATATTTCCACCATTTCTTTCGAAAAACAATTTGCAAAATAAAAATATAAATAGAAAAATATATTAGAAGGAAAAACTTACAAGCTATAGAACAAAACACTAAAGAGAGGAAGGTTTTGATTGAATGCTTCCCATGAGCTATTAACTAAAACTTGTTGCCTCAAAGTAAAATCCATATTTTTTGTTTTCTCTTCTTTATTTAATTTGTATTAAATATTTTCAATGCTATAACTTTACGTATATCAAATGTTTATATAGAAGATTTGGTGAGTAAAAAATTAATAGATGAGAGTTATTATTTTGTAATTGTTTGTTTAAAAAATGTATTAGTATTTAATTTGGAGATGACCATTGGCATTGTTAAGAGACAGTTATCTTTTCAAAACAATAACCATAGAATTTTAATAGATTAAACTAAAATATAATTTTAAAAAATTAATACAAACTTTGTCTACTTTTTATTTTAAAGGAATTTTCAATTTTCATTTAATTAATGTAAATAGTAATCTATTAAAAAATGTGAGTGAATCTTAATACCTTGTTACAATATTTTTTATTTAGTAAAATAATTTCAGGCTCTATTTAGAGAGAGTACACTCGAGTAGTTCAATGGACCATATAAACTATTAAAGTAATCAAGTTAAAAAATGTAATTAAAATTGTATTGTTAACATTTATTTTTATATTTTTTTTAATTTTTTGTGCGTGTTTGAGTGAGAAAATATGTCATTTTCCAATCAACATTATATGTCATCTCATATGTTCTTTTCTTTTATGCTATGGCATTTTGTTTACTCAAACGAATATTATTTTGACCATTGCTTAAGCAATTTGTTTCTATGGCTGCTACAACTTCTACAACCGGTGATAAAGGAATCCTTTGTCAAGGTGGTTAATAATGTATACGACATTCCTTCACCACAACTTCTACAACCGGTGATAAAGGAAAGTAGAGTAACCATAACAAAACCGAAAGACGAGTATCTAGCCGGATAGAAGTTTACAAGCATAATTTTCATGCTAGAATCATCTGACCTAAAGAGACCATTCCTTTAAAATTCGGTGTCTTAAGAAACAAGTTAATGCAACTTTGGAACTCTCTAGGTAAATGGAGTATCACTTTTCTTAAAAAAGGTTATTATGAGTTATCCTTCTCTTTGCTAAGACTCACAACATGTCAGATTTATATGGTTGTAGAACTTAAACCCTGGTATTATGAAGCTTTTTGCTTGGACAAAAGATTTCAACCCAAATGTTTAACCTCATTCTTCTACTGAGATTCAAATTAAAAATATTGGTCTTGCATAGGACTATTGGTGTCGAAAAATTATGTTTGCTATTGGTAGCAATGTTGGCACACCCATTTGTGTTGATCAGTTTACCAACAAACCAAAATTTAATCGAGAGTTTGATCATTTTGTTAGAGTACTGGTGGACGTTATGAGGAAACTATCTATTTTTAAAGTCTTGGTTGAAAGAATTAGTTTTGCATTCTTTGTGGATAATGCAAGAGTACTACAACTTTTGGAACTGTATATGCCATACCCAATCAAAATGTAGAAGAACCAATGCAATTGGTATTAAAGTAACAGACCCTGATCCGACTAAGCAAATATTCTAGATCTCATTTTAGTGATAAACTTGGTTTATGTACATAATTTGAAATTTTAGTTCATCATTGAATTTTGTGAGATTCTAAAAAAATTCTTGAACCTTTGAACATTATTTTAAATTGATTTTCTTTCCATAAAAAGTAAGGAGCATTCACTTGAGGATTGGTTGAATTCAAGTTAGGGAGAATGAAAAGAAAAGTGGTACGTTACTCACAATTTTGAAAAATTTCAAGCAAACATGAAAAGAAAAAGTGTGAATATGAATGTGAAAAGTAAAAGTAAAAGAATGCTTGTTTGAAAAAGAAAAATAGAGAATGAAATAATTGTGCAAAAGGAAGTATGAGAAGGTTTACAATAGATGAAAGAAAGTGGTTAATGAAGTTGTGATGTGTAAATAACTTGTATAGTGAATGTTTCTTTTGCATTGACAATTTCGATTCAATGACCTTAGAAATGACCTTTTGTTGTGAACCTGACCAAACTACAACCATAAAAGTCCTTAGTGATCTTTTTACTTCCATGAGTTCATTTATGATTGTTAGATGTATGTATGAATTGGATTGATATTTGCATTGTTTGTCAGATGAGTGAATTGCCTTGTGGTTTCAAACGCGTTAATTTCTTCATTCTTATTTTGAAGAGGAGTGTTAGAGTGATTCTAGTATGAGAATTTAGTTGTTATTTGAAAAATTTCATGATATTTGTTTATGAACTAAATTCTTTGTCATTGTTCGATTCTATTGAGTGGTGAACATTGCTTATGCGCATCCTCATGCTTGACCAAATTCTACTGTTTGAGCAAATCTCTCTTGTTTGAATTTGAACCATGATCCCTTTCTTGGTTGAATCTTATGCTTGAGAAAACCTCTCTTGTTTTCATGAGGGGCATACTTTGGTTGAGTACAAGCAAAAATCTAATTTGGGGGAGTTTGTTAAGTGAAATTTTTTACTTTTATTGAACTATCTTTCTTGGCACTTTTCAACTCAATTATCATGTTTTAATAGATTTATTTCTTGTTCTTGTGTAATTCTTCAATTATATTATAAATACCTTTGGGTTCTTTGATGTGTGTGTTATTGTGCAAAATATATGCATAACATCAATTATTAAGACACAAAGGAGTGGACAAGGAAGCCAAATAAAAGAAGAGGAATCAACATGTTCATTGTGAAAACAACGCCGAGGTGAAAGCGAATGCTCACTATGCGAGGTCTAGGCAAATCCCCGTCGAACCAACCCAGATTAGAGGTAGTAGAAAAAGGACCCAAAGAAGTGCTTACACTGCGAACTTATATATTTTCCAGGGGCGATTTAAGTGTTCCCGAGGCATTTGAAGTGCCCAAAAGTGGTCTTTGCTGGGCGAAGGGGGTGTTCACTAGGCGAACAGGACAAATTTTTGTTTTACTATATATGTACTTTTCTCACTTTTTAGAAACATAACTTTTGCACAACTTTTAGAACTTGTAATTTTTAAAATATAACTTTATCTCTCTTAATTTCAAAGCATAGTTTAGAGAAAGAAACACAAACCCTAAGAGGAAGAAGGTAAGAGCTTCGATCTCTTGTTGGGTTTGGATATAATCTTTTGATACCTTATATATTTCATCTAATATATGTTTATGAATAAGTTTTGATTCAATATTGATGTTGTCTTTGATTTCTTACTTGTGGGTCTTGACAAAACCTTTTTCAAATCTTAGATCTTAGATATTCATCTATCAGTGAGCAAACTTTTGACATAGTCTTGTAAGTTGATATTCACTAGTATCTTTGATTGTATTATGTTGATTATTAGCATGAGTAGTATGAGTAGTATCAATACGGTATATTGAGGATGCGTAATAATCGAGATGAATAACTTGTTCACTTGCATTTGGAAAATTAGTCGAATGCATGTAAAAAGGGTTAAACGTATGTATGTATTCTGATCATGGCGTTTTATATGAATCAATCATGAAGCTAATATGGATGTCTTTTTTGTTTACCTGTTTATCTTTGATTTGAACTGTTATAGAAATATACTCTTCAGATCTGGATCTAAGATGATTATCTGTTAGGTTCTAGACTCTAGACATAGATTTCGGCTTAACATTTGCTTGAGTATCAGTTCTTAATGCTTTGTGTTGTTGAGTTGCATGAGCCATCACCAATGAGACAATACAGTTATTCTCTCGATGTCGCGTTAGACATAACCTTTATTGTGGGTGATACGTGAAGATATTAGACGAATGATTGATTTGTGTTTCTGGTTACATGAATGCACATGTTATCAATTGATGAGATCCAATCCCAACAAGACTCAGTTTATATTTTAAGTCTTTACTTTATATTTCCCGTCTTTATATTTTCAGCTTTTATCTATTGTATCTTTCATCTTCCAAACAATTAATCACCAGATGCTTAGAAATGTAGAGACCGTTGAATGACATTATTTTCCTTGCACTGATCCATGTGGAAACAATATAAATCCAGAAGGAATCCTTCTAAATCTAAATGTTTGCTTCTTGCAGATTTATTGCAGTTCAAACATAAACCAACATCCACTCCCTTAGATGCCCTTGTTCGTCTCCATAAGGATAGTGACTCAACATTCTCTAATATCACTGCATATCATAGAAACGAGAAGATCCATTTATGGCTATTGCTTCTTCATTAGTCAGTTCTTGGTGTCGTGAAAATCAAAGAAACAAGTGAATGTTAGTTTTTCTTCAGCTGAAGCTGAATACTCTGCCTTAGCATCTACCACTCGTGAGCTTCAATGATTCGGTTTCCTGTTGCATGATATCAAACAACATCCTACTCGGCTTCCATTCTTGTATTGCGATAATCATAGTGCTACCCGCATATTTGCTAATCCTATTTTCCATGAGAGGACTAAGAATTTGGACATTGATTTTCACTTGGTGCATGAAAAGTTACAGGTTGGTGTTATGCGGTTGCTTCCGGTTCCTTCTAAAGCCCAAACAACTGAGGTATTCACGAAAGCTCTTGGTCCTTGTCCCTTCTTTGATTGCTTGTCCAAGCTTGGCTTGATAGACATTTACCAACCTTAGGCTTGTGGGGGTAATAAATCATATGGAAGAAGGAGAAGATGATTCTCACGTTGCATAAAGTTGCATGTCCTTGTTTACATCATGCACTCTTTCTTACTTGATTTTGTTAGTTAGATTGAGTTAGATAGGATGATGATGTGGCATAACTACTTAATGTAACTATATAAACATGTTGTAACTAACTTCTTCTTCAATAAATGCAAACTATTATCCATTCTTTCTTCTTCCTTCTCCTTCTATTTTCTCTCCATTAATGGAGCGTCATAGTTGCTTAGAGTTATAAAGTTTAGCTTTAACATCCGAACTAACACATCAATTATAAAATTTAAAATATCTTACTCCCTTCGTCTTACCATAGGTGTCCTCTTTTAGATTTTCACATTTTTTAAAATAATAATTAATTGTGTTGATTTCAATAATAAAAAAAATGTTATTTAATAAAATAATCTTATTAATAATTGATAGTGGAATAATTACATAATTTAAAATACAATAAATAAGAGTAAATTAATAGAAAGAATAATAAATATCATTCTGATATTATAAAGCGACGAATAATTTAAGACAAATAAAATTTAAAAAAATAACACTTATTAAGCAGCGGCGGAGGAAGTATTATTCAAACATACTTAGTCAATATCTTAAAAGTTCTTAACTAATTTGTTTGAACAACATTTATTATTTTAAAAAATTATTTGAAGTTTTAGGAAAATATATTTTAATTATCGATCTTATTTATAGTAAGCAATAAATCTCATATTCAATGCATTGCCTTCTTAATTGCTTCTGCCAATTCATCATAAGCAAATTCCCAAGCATTACTCAACTCTTCACTCCAGTTATCTCCAACAGCTTCATTCATTGTTTTGAGTAAAGCTTCTTTCACAACCTGTAAAACAAAAATATCTTTAATTTTTATAAAATAATATAGATTTTTACTAAAATAAGGTAAATGAAAAAAAAATGATGAATTTGTATGAGAAAAAAAATATATTAACAAAAGAAACTCCCAATGATATTTCATACCACAAAATGAGAATTAACAACCCTCTTTTGCGTGTGAACAACTCCCAACGTAACATCTTCTAATACTATTTCTCCAGTTGTATGGAGTTGAACCGCAGCGTCACGTACCTAAAGTTAAAAAAAAAAATCTTATGACATGATAATGATCCTAATAAAGAAAAATTACATCAATATAAATAATTACGAATTTTGATATTATTATCTGTATCATAAGTAATTATACTAAAAATTATCATTCATCATTAATTATTTACTAAAAATTAGAAATTTGTGGAAGTTGAATTGTACTCACCATTCCAAAAACCTTCTCAGCATGAGCATTGAGACTAGAATTATTCTGAGGTATCTCACTGGCGTCTTTTAAAAAAGAAAACATATTTTTTGCTGCAGGTTCTTTCTCCAATATACTGTTTTAATAACACCAATCAAAGATAGTTATGTTTACACCATCTCTTTTGAAACACAACTAGCAAAAATATGTATACAAATGAAGAAATATATTACAGGTAAAACTTACAAGGTGTAAAATAAAACACTATAAAGTGGAAGATTTAGATTGAAGATTTCCCATGAACTAGTAACTAAAGCCTCTTGTCTTCCAGTAAAACCCATATTTCTTTGTGTTCTCTTCTTTATTTAATTTGAATGGGAAATTTTCAATGGTATAACTTTACATTTATCCCATGTTTATATAGAAGGCTTGGAGAGTTGGTTTCTTGTAATTGATTATTTAGATAATATATTGGTATGTAATTTAGAGGTGGCCATTGACATTATTAAAAGACAATTATCTTTTCAATACAATAATTGCATAATTTTAATTATTAAAGTAAAAATAATTTTAAAAAATTAATACAAAATTTATCCACTTTTAAATTTTTTTTGGAGGTTTAGTTTTTACTAATTTAATGTAATTATCAATTTATTAAAAATATGAGTGGATTGAAAACTTTATTAAAATAATTTTTATTTTGTATGTCACCTTGTTCTAGGATCATGAACCATTATGATTAGGGATTTTAGAATAATCCAACATTCCATGTTTTTGCTTCCAACCTACTTCATAGCATAATACTTTCGTTTCGGCTCTAGTTAACACCTCATGAAGAATGTTGCAATAGACATTGATGTTCATAAAAACATTCAAGAAATATTTAAATGACTCTTTTGATATCTTTACTTTAAGCCATCTTTGCATACCTTATTTCAAGGGAGATATAGTAGCCATAAAATGGGGGATTTTTTTTTTTAAGTTCCTTTCTTCTCCTCTCTCAAATCCAAACATCTACCTATATTATGTAGTTCTAGTTGTTAGTGGTGTGATGAGAGCTTAGCTGTCGAAGAAGGCGAAGATGAGGAAATCAGAAGATATCTAATCAGAAGTCATCACGGTTCACACTCCCTAAGAAAGGTAAGACATATTTTCTGATGAATTTTTTTGGTTAATAAGATCAAATCAGTAAGAATAAGATTATCATTCAAATCTTCAAAGGAAATATATTTTGGTTTGATGATATCTGCATCTGGTGAAGATAAACACCTATTTAATGAAGATCAACATCTATTCAATGATTGAACTTTGATGATGCAAGAAGATTCCAACAAGTCTATTTAGCACATAAACACTCAAAGTTTATGTTTAAGCTAAGAAATTTTTGGCCTTCTGAAAATGAGCCTTCTTGAAGAAAACGCGTTCTAATCTTTCTTGAAGATAGAAGATAGATGATTCTAAGGATAAAAGTTGGTTCTTCTCCAACAATCTAATATGAAACCAACGTCAGAAAATATGTTCTCATCTTGCAGAATGGAAGCTCAAGAAGTCATGAAAATAATCGTACCTTTGCTCAACGTTAAAGATTCCTATAAAGATAGCAGATGGAAGAAGAAAATGATTCTTGTTGTCTAACTAGAAGTGACGTCGACAAGTCATCATCCGGAGATGCTGAACGAGTGGTGATTCTGAAGAAGCCTCTACGTTAGAAGTTAGAATCTACAGAAGTATTGAGTAATGTATTTCTAACCCTTACTATTTAAATTCAAATAGTCTAGAAATCCATTCTTATGTCTTAGAAAATCAAATCTTTAAGAAATATATCTTGAGTATTAAAAACTCGTGAACGGTTGAAATCTTTGTAACCGTTAGGAACTGATAAGTTAACCCTCTCAACACATTGTCAAGTATGTGAAGAGGTTATACCTCGATTTAAGACATCTGTCCTCTTTGCAAACCATTTTTAGTAATCATTACCCTAAATGACTAGACGTGTCTTGGGATTACATGCTAAAATTGATTTTACTTTTATCTATTTCTAAACATTTCCTTTTTTCAATATTTATAATCATCAAAAGTCTCCCTATTTATTTTCACATCACGTCACATCACACACACACACGCTACATCTTGTCAACACCTTTATCCTTTAAACCTATTTGTTCTCTCAACCCTAAATCGTGTGTTAGCCTTTATCCTCTTCAAATGGATAACGACATGTCTATGGATCAATGCTTGGCTTTCCAAAAACAATGCTTGGAAAATCATTTGAATGATGATCTAAAAATCACATTGGCTCTACCAATTGAACTACTATCTGTTATCTCTGAATACAATGTGGATTTTGGGGATTTTACTATACATGGTTTTGACTTCTCTAAAACGGTTGAATTTCAAGGCTGGAAACCATACTTTGATCTTCTTAAAGGACCAACCTTTCCAGAACTTGTCAAGGAATTTTGGAAAAATGCTTATATTATGAATAATACTTTGGTGTGCTCAAGTATTAAAGGTCATGACATAAACATTAATTTGGATAACATTGTTAAGCTTTTATCTCATGACAACACTAGATATCACTGTCACAACAGAAGAGAAGCTATGATGAACAACAAGCTAACTTATCCTGAGCAGATTCATATGATTACTCCTACCTTATTCAAAGATGGTAAGGATTCTAACCTAGCTTCAAAGTTGTATGATAATCTTAGAATCTGGCTCAATATCATTTATAGGAGCATCTATAATACTACAACGGAAAATCCAACAAAATTTGATTTTGATCTAAAGTACATGATATTCTATCTGGCCAAAGGAAAGAAGATCAATCTACCAACATTTCTCTTCAACTATTTACGTGATTCTATCAATCGTTCAAAGAGAATGCTAGAAAGTAAAAGAACCTGGATTCCTTATGGAAGGTTAATATCTGTTATTCTCATTGACAACAACATTATAAAATTGATAAACCCTCCAGTAGCACCAAAAATGAGTTACGGAAAATACTTCCATTATGAAGAGGTGGTGAAGCTGGGAATAATCAAATCATCTGCTATGCGTAATCCAGAAACTGACTCAAGCAGAAAAAGAAAAAAAGAAGTTGGTGAAAGCAGTTCAATTAAAGAAAAAGAAGTAATTGAAGAGGTTGCCACTAAAAAGGATTTTACAGAAACCCCTATAAATCAAGCAACTCAATCAGATGGGCTGCATTCCTCTGAAGTTAATATGTTTTCTCAAGTATTAAATACCTTAATAGATGTGCAGAAAGAACAAAAGAGACTCGATGCAAAAAATAATGAACAAGAAGAGGTCAACAAAAATATCCTGGATATGATCACTTAGTTGTATCAAAGAACCCTTTCAATTCCAAAACCTTAGGCACTTTTAGGATTTTTTTTTGCTTTATGCTCTATTTTGCTTTCTAATTGATATTGTTTTGCATACCAATATTGTTTCTAATTTCCTATTTAATATGAATGAAATATTTTTATTAAGCATTTTAATTTTCTTTTTTCATATTACCTTTTTGATTTCTGACAAAGGGGGAGAAAGTGATATATGATTTTCATATTCAATCTAAAGAATCTCATCCTAAACATAATTAAATACAATTTACTTCTAAACAAATGTTTAAGAATTGATCAGGAACTTTGCAAAAGTTCACTGCATGTTAGAACAGGTTATCAGAAGACAGAAGACAAGACATATCAGAAGCTATGATATATCAGAATACATTATTTGTATTTGATAATATATCAGAAGATGTGTTCTGAAGAAGTAGCTAAATTGTATCAGAAGCAATTGTATAAGAGATCAGAAGAAGAATACCCAAAACTTGTCAGAAGTTGTTAGGTTTCTGAAAGGATGGTTCAATTGGTATCTAAAATTCAATGGTATCCAAACCTCAAATGGTATCTAGACTCCAAAATCAAAAGAATGTGAATTCTTCAGAGATGAGATTAAGTCATGATCATAAAAGAAAATATTTGGTTTCTGAACCATCAAATGACTTAAGGATATGTGTACCTGTTGGTGATATATCCTAAGATATTGAAGATTTGGTTTTTATACATGATGTCTGACATCTAAGAAAGTATCTACCAGTTTATGATATATAATGCAATACATCAAAAGACAAATCAGGTTTTGATACGTCTACAGTATTCTGATAGTAAGTTTGGTTTTGAGATGAAGACCAACCAGTTCTAATCAGATTCTGATGAGACGTCACTGAGAAGTAACCCTTCTCTTTTAAACATGATTCTACTTCAAAATCATTTTGTGAGTCTTGGGATCAGGGGGAGACTCTGAACAAGCATAAGTGAATTTTGAAAGTAACAAAATTAGGGGGAGCCTGTTAAGCTTATCTTTTACTTTATGGTGATTACCCTATATGAATTTCTCTATCAAAATAAATTGTATAAAGAAGGAGGAGATTGTAAGAACAAGATTTGGTTCTACATCTGGCCATTAAGTTTTCATGATAACTGCACACGTTATTTAAGAGAACAATTATGTATGATATGGTTTCTGTCTAATGTGTGACTGTTGTCAATATGATTCTAACTCTGATAAGAAGGTGTGTGACGTCATCAGACTCTATTATCAACACCCTAGAAGAAAACATATGTGTGTACAAGTGAAAATCAAGATTCATTAATATTTTTAATACAACAGTTCTAATGAACGTTAGTTTTGGACATTCTAACTAAGACTTTATGAGAAAGATCTACAAGACTTTCTAATGTGATGCGCTTCTAATGTTACAAGTTCTGAAGATTCTAAAGATGTGGTTCAGGTGAACAAAGCTCTAAAGATTCTAAAGGCACAATTTGTGAAGATCAAGTTCTAAAGAGTTTCTAAAGACAAGGTTCTGATTAGACGAAGTGCTGAAGACTCTGATGACAAAGAGCACGCTCAATGAAATCTGAAAACTATGAAGACAAGATTCTAAAGGAACAGGTTCTGAAGAATCTGAAGATAATGCTTCTAAAATAACAAGTGCTAAAGATTCTCAAGATAGATTCTTCCGAACAAAGATCTTGGAATTCTGAAGACTAAGTTTTTGAAGATTACATAAAGAATGACTCTTCTACAACATGCTTCATTAAGATAATATCTGAAGCCTCTGAAGATGCTAGAAGACTGAAGATCAGAATGGTTTTAAGTTGAATATAATAGTACTAAAACTATGTATCCTCTACCTTGAAAAGATGATACAGGAGCAACTTTTTATACAATGATGTTAACCATTCCTTCATATGAACATTGAGATATTGTTGGAATATGTTTCCTAGAATACTCCTTAATGAATCTATTCTCTCCCGCTCTATAAATTAAAGACTTAGAAGCTTAAAGAAATGTCGCTCATGGCCAAGAAGTTAGCTTCTTGTCGCTCATGGATTATTGCTGAAGCAACCATTGATCATAAAGAGAGAAAGATAAAATATTGTTGGTTTCTATTCATACAAAGGATTATTATTCAACACAACAAACAAATCAACATGTAACAAGCAAGATGGTGCTGTTACCACAAGAGTGTACAACGATGATTATGCTAACACCATATGAAACTACTTAAGTGAGACATTATAAGTGAAGCATAGTAGCTTAATTGAACTTGATGGTTGAATTGGAAGAAGCATTATATGCTCAAGAAAGGAGTACAAAAGGAAAAGCTAGAAGCTTAATGAAAATAAGCCTAATTACTAAAACAAGAAAGCTTTTAAGCAACAAAACTAGTGCAATCTCTTAAATATTTATCAATAGATAGTTTTGTATTAGAAAGCATGGAGCTGCTGCTCAAGAACTTGCTAGAAACACTTAGGTGTTCTTGTACTTCATTTGTGTAATTAGCTTGTAAGAAGCATTAAGTGTACACATGTAAAATCCTTTTTCTAAAGATGACGTAAATCCTTGTTGAAGGTAGCTTGAGAAATCCTATCTAAGGTGGCGTGAATCCTTGTTGAAGGTAGCAAGCAAGTTCTTAGAAGGTAATGTTGATTCCTTGAGCGGTCGAGTGAAGACCAGAATGTTTGAGAAGACTAAGCGTGTTTCTAACATCTTAGTGGATGATTCCTTGAGAGGCAAATAAATGTCAGGATTCTCAAGAAGGAAATAGAGGGTTTCCATTATGGTTGCAATCATTGATGATTATTGGATTAAGTCCTTGTGATAAGGCGAAATCACCTTGAGGGGTGGACTGGAGTAACTTCGTTAACAACGAACAAGGATAAAATTATTGTGTTCATTTATTTTATTTACTTGTTAATGTAATTGATTTAATTTTTGCAAATGGGGAAAATATGAAACCCAATTCAAACCCCCCCTTTCTTGTGTTTCTCAAACTTCATAAGGTTGAATCAGTAAAATTTTGGTGTGTGCTTTCCTTTCTCTTCTATTTTGTTTTCTTGTTATTTATCTTTTGCACTTAAATCTGTGTTTCATCTCTTTTCTTAAAATTGACATGGTAAAATCAATCATTTTTGTTAAAAAAAATTGAAAAAAAAAACAATTATAAGACTAATCGTCTTATGAGGTAGGATGAATTCAAATGACTCACTAAAAAAACTCTCATATTTTAATGGTGAGGAGTACGCTTATTGGAAAGAGAAGATGAAAATATTTATAAAGGTGATGGATTATGGTGGCTCATTGTTAAAATGGTCCATTTGTTCCCACATATCAAGTTAATGGTGTTGTGAAAAACAAACTTATATATATTTAGACCAAAGAGGATAAATTAAATATGCAATGCAATTTAAAAGTTAAAACCATTATCAATACCGCTCTCATTATTGATGGTTTTTTGTCGTGTTTCTCACTATAATGTTGCAAAATAAATTTGGGTCACATTTCAAGTTATCCATGAACGTACAACTGAGGTAAAAATAATGTTAGAATGAACACATTGCACAATAACAATGAGTTGTTTAGAATGAAACTTGAAGGAAATATATAGTATATATAAAATGGTCTATTCACATTGCTAATCACTTAAGAACTCTAGGTAAGACTTTTCAAAATGAGGGTTTAATTGACAAAGTTCTTAGATGCATAAGCTCCAGCTGACAACCTAAAGTCACTATGATTTATGAATCTAAAGATTTGTCTTCTATATATTTGACTACTTTGCTTGACAAATTGCATGAACATAAGATTAAGCTCAAAAGACTTGCTAAAAATGAAAAAGGTGACAAGAATAAGAAAAGTATTATACTCAATGTTAAAGAAGTCAAAGAGTCAAAAAATGGTGAAAACATGAATCTCTTAGTCTGCAAATTTAAAAAGTTTCTAAGGAACGAAAACCAACCTCAAAATGGAAAAAAAAACTTCACTCATACCAATATATATATATATATATATATATATATGCTAAATTTTAATTTTTATATTTTTAGCAATAGTTTAATCTATTAATTTTAAAAATGGTGTTTATCGTTCTAAATATTAATTTATTGTTTTGACATCATTTTATTTTATTTCTAAACAAACATAAATAATATTACCATAAATAATTGAATAATTTTTTTATCATTCAAAACATTATCTATTTAAAAATATAAATATTCTAACACCAATGTCTCACCAAATGTCATTATAGATATTAGAGTGTGCTTGAATGAGATAATTGAGAATTTTTAAGGAATTTAAAATTCTAACCAATTTAAATGATTCAATTGAAATTCATTTATTTTTAAATTTTTTTGTTTGGAGGGAGTATTAAAATGATTCATTGTTAAATTTTTGAAGTCATTTTTATAAATTTTAAAACTTTTGAGCCAAATTTTAAATATGAAAAATAAGAACCAATTTGTAATTTTTGAAAAGGGACTAATTTATAAATTTTGAAAATTATTAGGGATTTATTTGCAAATTTTAGAGGTGAATTTGAAATTTTCATAAAATATGAGGACCATCTTGCAAAATTTATAAAATTAAAAATAAACAATTCAACAATTGCATGATATAGAGTGAAGAGTAATTTCAAATTATTTACTTTTTGATGTCATTTGAAATTCCTTAAATTTAACTTAAATAAAATTCTTCATAACTTTACATGATTTTAACAATTCTCTATATTTTTTATTCAAACAATAAATTTTAGTCAAGTCATTTTAAATTCTCACAAAAAATTACTTTCTCTCATTAAAATTATCAATGCTCAAGTCACGCATTCCATGATCAATTTTCAGACACTTGAATCTAGAATTTTCCAAGTTTGGTTCACACGTTTGGGATCTGATTTCACTTAAACCATGACATCAAATCATTCTCCTATAAATAAAGAATCATTCTACATTGAATTCCAAGCTTGAACAACCAAAGAACCCCTGCTGCTT